CCACTAAGGGATGTGTTTTAGTGGTGGACTTGGCAGTGCCAGGTTACCAATTGGACTTGATGATCTTGTAGGTCCTTTCCAATCTAAATGATTCTCTGATTCTATAAAACCTGCCTAAATAGATAGGAGACTTAGCCAGAGCTCAGCACAGGCACTGAAAGCAGGTGCTGACTCCAGTGAGGGGCACAAGCATAGTGCCCAGCCCTGCAGCACCCCTGGCTTTCAGCCTGTTGCTGGAGGACAAGCCAGGGCCAGCATGAGCCTTGTGTCCCCAGGCCTGTCACCATCAGGGCCAGGAGGCTCCTGCAAGTCCTGGGGTGCTGTTTGCCAGCCCCAGCCAGGCATGAGCTCCGTGACAGCCTCCCAGAGGTGATGCCCAGGTGTGCTCATGTGTATTGTACAGTAGTTTGGGTGTCAAGAACTCCCCAAAAGCAGGAATGCTTTACCCAGGGTGTCTGTTTGCAGCCTCTCTTATGAAATAGTTTTCAGTTTTAGCATAACTTTTATTTTTGAAAAATTGAAAATGTTATTTTAGTTTGCTCAGCTCCTTCATTCTGGAAGCTTTCTTTTGGAATGGGGGTGTTCCCTAAAAAAGCATTGGTATGATTAATAGTTCTTCTCTGTGGTTGTACATGATTTGATGCTGCCTGGCAGGATAAAATCAGAGAAGCATCACCCAGGCCTCTCCCCCAGACTTTTCCACTGTTCTCTTTGCTTTAATGCTCACCAGTCCTTGTGTGCTCCCCATGTTCTGGCACCTCAGTGCTGTCCCAGAGCTGAGTGGAACACACAATGCTGATGGTCCTAAGCTTTTATATGGCAACTCTATCCTCTGAACATGCTTTTCCACGTGTCACAAAATCACAGCATTGTTAGGGCTGTTGGAAGGGGACTCTGGAGATCATCCAGCCCACTGCTCCTGCCAAGACGGGGTCACCTGAAGCAGGTGGCACAGGAACATTGGTTTGGAATGTCTCTAGAGAGGGAGACTCCACAACCTCACTGGGCAACAACTGTTCCAGTGCTCTGTCACCCTCAATATAGTTCTTCCTCATGCTGAGGTGGAACTTGCTGTGTTTGTGGCCATCGCTCCTCATCCTGTCGCTGGGCACCACTGAAAAGAATCTGGCACCATCCTCTTGGCACCTGCCTTTGAGATATAAAATTTATAACTAATGATGAGATCCCCTCTCAGTCTTCTCTGCTCCAGACTAAACAGGCCCGGCTCCCGCAGTCTCTCCTTGTCAGAGAGTGCTCCAGATTCCTCAACATCTTTGTGACCTCTGCTGGACCCTCTCCAGGAGCTCCTGGTGTATCGAGGAGCCCAGACCCGGACACAGCCCTCCAGATGTGCCTCACTAGGGCCGGGTAGAGGGGGAGGAGGATTTAAAGGACGAGAAGCCAATAAGAGGCGGCTTTCCTGCCGGGGTGATTTTTTCCCCTTTTTCCCTTATTTTAAGCGGCAGGGCCGGTGCCGGCTCGGCGGCCCCGCTGCCCCCGGGCGGGGCA